GTGTTCTATAGGTCGAAATCCAATATAGATTTAGATGGATATGATCCAATTCGATCATCTATTGAATATTGGATTTTTTTTCATCTGATACAATCAAATTATCATTTGACAGCTGATGAAAGCCCATTGATGATTGAATCAAATTGATTTCATCCATTGGATACTGTTATTCGCTATTCATTGGATCGATTAATGCATATTATATTTGATCCAAAAAATTTCAATTAATCTACCATTTCATATATTTTTTTAATTCTTAAAAAACGTTACATACAATATCAATTAATAACGATATCATGCTACTATTTTGTATATATATAAATGGTAGTTTTTTTTTTGTTAACCATGGATGTCCGGACTAGTTTGCGCGCATCTCGACGAGTCCTTGAGGTCCTGAATAACAGTCTAGAAAATCCCAGTAGCCCTACAAGACTCGTTCCAATTGGCAGTTAGTAGATAACTGGATAGTAACCGGATTGGATCGTTTTGTTATATTGGATCATGGACTATCATTCATTACTGATAAATCCAATTTCAATGTTGAAATTTCGGGTCCTATCCGATCCAATTACAATGAATTATTTTAAATCAGGTCAATGAAATTTAATTAAATCGTACGACTTTTAACACATAAAATCAGATATTCACATTCATAATTTTCAAGTACAATATCAGACATTATTTAAACGTGGATTTCAAATTTATTATCATTAACTTTTCCGAAAAAATAAATAAATATTTAATTCGTTATTTCTTACATAACATATGATATATGCATGGAACACATGATTCGTGTTTTACAACTATTTTAATTATTCATTATAATATTAAACTCGTTACGATTTATTACAATTTTTTATTTATTGTTACTTTATTTTTACGTATGGAAATAATATCTTTATATTTAAAAATATATATTTAAAGTAAATTACGGATTTGGTCCCTTTACTATGTTCATTTTTATGGAATTGGTCCTTAGACTTTACTTATTACTTAAAATAGTTGAGATGTATTCTTTCACGGTTTTGGTTCTCCATCAACAAGATTAAGAACAATCTTTATCCGAAATTAGATTAAGAATAATCAAACTCTAAAAAAACCCTAAATCAACTGTAAATAAAAGACCAAAAAAAAAACTTGTCCAAAATAATAATAAAATAATGAGTTTTGTTTGAACAGGTTAAACCAGAGGGTTTTTTCTTAACTATATTTAGGGGCCGTTTACTAAACGCTTACCCAGTAAATACTTATTGGGCAATTTTCCTTACCGGATGAACATGGCAAGAGACAAAAATCTTACCTGGTAAGAACGATGATAAGAATGGAGAGTCTTACCCGGTAAGTGAGGGTGACGACTCTTACCCGGGTAAGCGCTTACCTGGTAAATTGTTGCATAAGATATGTTTTGATGTACTACAATCTTACTCGATAAAATAAATTATAGTGTTGACTCTTAACGGTAAGCGCTTACCAGGTAAGTATTTAGGTAAACAACCTCTTAGGATTTCTTTTTAGGGAAGATGAAGATGAGGAGTGATAGGCAGGAGGATTCAAGAAAATTCACTGGTTTTTTATATTTTTTTTGGTAGAAAAGATTTAGGGTTTGATTTGGATTTATGCCTTTCGTATTTTAGATCTATGTTTTTCTAAATCATGGGTGTCTGAGACAACTTGCTCGACTAATCTCAGAGGCCCTGGATAACAGGCGAAAAAATCTCAGTGGCCTTACGGACTCGAACCGGTGACCTCTAAGATGAATTCTTATAGGGCCAAGGCTTATGACCTGTTCATTTAGATTTAGGGTTTTTAGTGAAGAAACATGAGATGATGAGAGGGGGGACAGTGAAGATTCAAAAATTAAAGAGTTTATTAATGTTCATCATTGTTTATGAAAACTTACTGATGTTTTATCATTGTTTATGAGAATTTGTTGATGTTCTTCATTCTTAATGTGAAAAAGACGATGATGATGCCAAATGATATTTAACCTAGCGGTATGTGAGTCATTGGCTTCCTAGGAGGTCAAGCGTTCAAACCTTACCAAAGGTAAATAGAATGTGTGAGTTTATTTGTTCTATTTGTCAAATATAAATAGGGCAAACTGCATGAAAAAGTAACGTACTTTAACTTGATTCCTATTTTAGGTAACGTACTTTCAAAACTTTCATTTTGATACTTAAGATGTAAAGTTTTAAACATTTAAGTATCCGGGTAACCCAGTGAAGACTAATTTTAGACTAAAAAAAAGACTAATTTTAAATTAAAAAAAATCCACGTCACTGACTAGGTCAACAAATAATACCGAGTTGGATAACACATCACTCGCCACATCAGTATGATAACCAGTTAATACTTCAACCAGTTACCCGGGTACTTAAATGTTTAGAACTTTACATCTTAGGTACCAAAATAGAAGTTTTGAAAGTACGTTACCCAAAATAGGAATCAAGTTAAAGTAGGTTACTTTTTCATGCAATTTGCCCATATAAATATTATATACTTCAAAAAAAACCCATGATGATTCAACCTAGCAAAAAAAAAAAAAAAAAAAACATAAAACAGAAGAAAGTGGTAAGTTGACGAAAATGCCCTTGTAGTTAACATGCAAGGTGGATGTCTCTTAGAGAAAACGACTAAATCTGTAAATCTACATAATAATATCTGAAGTCTATAAGCCAATTCCATAAAAATTAACATACCATAAGGACTAAATCTGTAATTTATTCTTATTTTTATTTGAATGAAATTAATATGGAAAAGAATATTTGAAAACTTTATTGAAAATTGTATGGTTGCCAAGGGTTTGATTTGCTTTTTAAAGTTCTCTTAGGTTCCATCAATCACCATAATGCTTCCTTTTTAAGTAATGGATGGTCTTTTATTTGTAAGCATAACATATGATTTTTATACATAAACCCATGTCACATTAAATTTTTCCTATATATTTATTTCACACGAAAACCGATATCTGGTTTTATATATTTATAGACATTTATATATCGGAAAATTACTGAACATAGCTTAAAGATTCATAAGCAGATATAGAACCCCTGAAATACCTGTACTTCAGTTTTCCATCCTTAAAAAAAATTAAAAAATGAATTTATGTAATACGTAATTATAAAATATTTAACCATTGGTTTGAGCTTGATTCCAAAGGTCAAAAATACCTGGAGGTCTCAAGTACAAATCCAATGAGGAATAAAAATCATAATTATTTGGGAAAAACAATTTCTAACCTCCCTCCGTCTTAGAATAAGATAATCGAATAGTTAAGTGAACAAAATCATAATTATTTGGGAAAAAAATTGATCATTGATAACCTCAACTGGTTCTACAGGAAACACGCCTCCAAGGATACAAATATAAAGCTCAATGCTTTCCTCTGTGTTTGAATCTGTTTATCAGTTGGTTTGATTAAATTCGAACGTTAAGTTATAAGAAATTATACCTGTGAATAATAAAACTATGTATGATGAAATATCTGTTGGTTGATAAGATAGTTGTTAGTTGAAAAGATAGCTGTTGACTAATAAGTTAGGCGTTCGTTGATAATCTAATCATGTTTGATAAAAAAACCAAACAATAAATAGTATAAATGATTTGTAATAATTCTTTTTGGCTCATAAAAGCATCTCGAAAAGATTTTTTATAATTTAACTAAAAATAAAAAATCAAAAGTCAAAATCTTTAAAAAAATTAATTCTATATTTTAGAGATTTCAATATTTATTATATTACCAAAATATTCTAATAATTTAAAATCATAATACACTTTCTAAAATTAATTTATATAAAATAATAATAATTTAATCAATAAAAGTTAATTTATTTTTTCATAAATTAAATTGTAAAAAATTATTTAAATTTAAAGATTTCTTTAGTTTTTTTATTTTAAAGAATGATATAAAGAATATTTTGCGTTTTTTAAAGAATTAAAAATAATAGAATTTATTATTAAAATGTTTAATTATTAATTATTTTTATTTAGAAAAATACATTATTTCATTTTATTTTAATATATATATATATATATATATATACACACACACTAACTAGAAGGATATTCGCGCAATACAGCGAGATACATCGTGATTTTAATATTTTATTTTATTATTTATCTCAGTCAATATTACAGTATGGTTTTATGTGATTTTAAAAAACGACGATGTTTTTATTTTTGAATAAAATATAAATTTAAAAATATCATAAAAAATTGACAAAAATATATCGATATTAATATCAAATTAACTATTTAAAATTCCTATTTTTTTTGCAAATTTTTAATTTAATTTTTTTTATTATTGTAGTTTAATTTTGGTTCAATAATGAAGTAATTTATATTTGGTTCAATAATATAATTTTCTTATGAAGATAATAGTTAATTATTTTATTAGAACTCAATAATTATTCTTTAGATTTTTTATATTTTAAAATGAGACGTTTATCCTCTATTTGGTTATGTTTATCCGCAGTTAGTTACACGAATTCAAACATGAAGCTTTAATAAGTTGTACTTATGCATAATTTACTTGTAATCTTGAATTTTAAGTAATATGCATCAATATACAGTACTTCATGCATAAAAAACGGTTTTTAAGAGTTTTTGTCAAATATTTTATAATATAGTATAGATATAAACCACAAGAATGGTACATGATTGATTTGAATTGACTCCAAAGATCAAAAGTATCATGAGGTCCTAGGTTCAAATCCAAGAAGAAATAAAAATCTTTTTGTGACCATGGAGGTTCAAATGCGGTGACTCCGGACTATTTGTACAGCAGGTGATCGTCTTGAGATTAGTCGACTCGCATAGCGGTTTGGATATCCAGGTTAATAAAAAATATATATATATATATATAATATAGATAGAGGTAACATACACACAAAGACGTTGCATTTACTGAGTGAATAGCGGTGAGAAGAAAGAAATGGATAAAATAAACCCACCCACATTCTTTATCTATTTAATCAAACTCCCTTCACCTCTCTCTCTCTCTCTCTCACGTCAGCCACCACCACCCACCGCCAGATCTTCAAATCTATAAGGACCTCCCATCTCTCTGTTCGGCCATCGATTCAGCATTTCTCAGCTACTGATTGTCAAATTTCACTAGTTTCAAGCTTTGCTTCTATCCAAAATACTGAGGTGTTCACCTTCTTTGACTACACGCTGGCGGTGGCGTTTCACTTCTAGGTTTAGGGTTACCAGAATTGGATGAGTAAGGTGGTGGTGGTGGTGGTGTTGCCTTGCTTTGATTCCAGAGAGATTTCTAAGGGAGATTGTGGTTTGGTGATTCGTTGTTGCGGTAGGTGGGATAAATGTGGCTGAATTAATCTCCCCTTTCCGAATTCCGGCAACCATCGCTACTGCCCTTTCTTGTTTGTTGTTTTCAGTCTCCCTTTGATTCTTTCTTCTATTCTGTTAGTTTTTGGGGCTCTCTCGATCTGTTTCCAGAAACAGTAATCAGACCTTGTGGGATCAATCTCAATTGTGGGACGATAACGATGCAACAAGATCCGCGAAGAAAGGTTTAACTTTATTCTAACTTGTTTTTAATTTGAATTATCTATTCGTGTTGAATTTCATTGCTAATTACGTAATTTCGGACATCAAAGCTTTAATTTGTGCTTTCTTAACTGAATTTAGAGATATTGGACGTTATACTTGCTTATTGGTCGAGAATTTTGAGCTGGGACTGTAACATTAACATGATTCAATTTTGAGATTTCTAGCTTCTAGGTCAATGCCTTTGATTCTCCCTTTCTAATAGCTTATCATTTGAAATCTGAATGCTATTTGATATGGAGAGATGTGTTGGTGCTTCAATTGTGGTTCAAAATGCTGTTTTAAGAAATCCTTCAAGAACTCATTTGATGGTAAACTGATTTTTTGGATGAATTAGGTTTCTTTGTATGGTATGATATCTCAATTTGGTGCATTAAAAATTTGGTTAGAACCTTAAAGCATTCTGGAAAACTAGATGCCTCTTCTTGGTATTGGTTAAACTAGTCTAGTTTTCATAAGGTTCATGATGGTATATTACGACATTTGTATGCTTATTTCTACAAGTAAATCACCACCTTCAGAGAGTCAACTATGTGCGATTTCATGTTGCAATCACTGTGTTACAGAATCCAAAAGAGGTCGAGTTCTTCACCGAGTATGGTGAATCAAATCGATACAAAATCTTGGAGATCATAGGGAAGGGAAGTTATGGAGTCGTTTGTTCAGCTGTTGATACACACACCGGGGAGAAGGTTGCAATCAAGAAAATAACCGACATTTTTGAACATGCATCGGATGCTGTTCGTATCTTGCGTGAAATCAAATTGCTAAGGCTTTTAAGGCATCCTGATATTGTTGAAATTAAGAGGATCATGTTGCCACCATCAAGACGGGCATTTAAAGATATTTTTGTAGTATTTGAACTCATGGAGTCCGATCTTCACCAAGTCATAAAGGCCAATGATGACTTGACACATGAGCACCATCGTTTTTTCCTCTATCAGATGCTACGAGCATTGAAGTATATGCATACGGGTAATTTTCTTAGATTGCTTATAAACCTCATAGGGTACATTTGGTATGCACACGTCGAAAACTTGTTGTCCCAACTTTGGTGCGGCAATTTAGACCGATGTATGACAGGACCTAGTGGGATAAAAGATGCAAGTTTTTGTCCCACCAAAATAGGTGGAACCAAAATCAGTTAACCAGGAAGATGTAACAAGATTACTAAATTGCCCATACCTCACTCTCGCCCGTCTAATCCCGTCTACATGCCAAATGCACCCTAATGGACAGTGGCATGAAGGCATTAGTTAGATCGATAATTATGTCTTTTGAAACCAAAGCTGATGACGAATTTCTATTTGATTTAGCAAATGTGTACCATCGAGATCTTAAACCGAAGAATATATTGGCAAACGCCAATTGCAAGCTCAAGATATGTGACTTTGGACTCGCAAGGGTGGCATTTAATGATGCCCCGACAGCAGTTCTTTGGACGGTGAGTTATTTTAAGTAGATTATTGATATTGCATTAGCCAACCTTTCGAAAATGTACATTTAAGTGGCATAATTTGTTTGAATTCTTATATCCTAATACAGGATTATGTCGCAACAAGATGGTACAGGGCTCCTGAGCTATGTGGATCTTTTTCTTCAAAGGTATATCCCGTTAAGCTGCATTTACCTGTCGTTTTCTAGAATGTAACGATAGCATGCTCGTATGGTAAATGAAGCTAATAATAGCTCGGTTTTTCGTATGATGCTTCCTAGGACCAATCGCTCATAGATCCTTATGTCGAGCATATTTGTTTTTTTCAGAGATCTAATGCTGCTGCATGGCCAAAGAATGATTCTTGAGAGTTGAGATATGTATGATTATTATGCATACAACATTCTGTGATCTTATATTTTCTTTCGAGTCGATCTTCATACTGTTATCACTGTCCCATCGAGTTAATTTCAGATTTCAAACGATCTTTAGTTGCTGTATATTATCTTGATGTTACTTCTTTAGATCTTTCTGCTATTTTAATGTGTTTGTTAGTGTCGGTTTTTTAACGAATTGTAACTTGTGAATTGCAGTATACTCCTGCTATTGATATATGGAGCATCGGTTGTATCTTTGCTGAAGTATTGACCGGAAGACCACTTTTCCCGGGAAAGAGTGTCGTTCATCAGTTGGAACTTATAACCGATCTTCTCGGGACACCATCAGCAGATATCATTTCTGGAGTATGCTTTTTACACGTTCGTTTTTCCATATATAAAAGATGATTAAAACTTTGTTTATTTAAATACGTGCTCGTTTTTACCTAATGTAGGTTCGTAATGATAAGGCAAGAAAATACTTGATGGATATGCGTAAAAAGCAACCCGTGCCATTTTCGCAGAAATTTGTGAATGTAGATCCTTTTGCACTCAGGCTATTGCAGAGGTTGTTAGCATTCGATCCCAAGGATCGGCCAACTGCTGAAGAGGTATTTCATGTGTTTGATTTCTCTCATGGTGCATATGGTACACGGGATTTGACATAACAGAAAACTTGTCCCATGTTCGTGCTATATGTAAACCGGGACACAACAGGACTTGGTGAGACAAAAATGTTTTTTTTTTCTTTCCAGCGAAAATAGGTGGAATGAAAATCAGAGAGATGAGATAAGATGGGCAAATTACTAAACTACACATGCAAATTAAAACCCCAAAATCTTGGACAATTTTTTCACCTGCCTATCTCACTCTCATCAGTTCAGTCCTGTCCAGTCCCATCCGCATACGGATACCCTTAAAGAGACCCACAACGGCCATCTTAACCTTCGGTTGTTTTTTGTTTTGTCAGGCTTTAGCCGATCCTTACTTCAAGGGATTGGCTAAGCTGGAGAGGGAACCTTCTTGTCAGTCAATCTCGAAGCTCGAGTTTGAGTTTGAAAGGCGTAGGGTGACCAAAGAGGATATTCGGGAACTAATATTTTGGGAGATTCTGGAATACCATCCTCAACTGCTAAAAGATCATATGGCTGGGAACGAAAGCACAAACTTTCTCTATCCTAGGTTCTTTATCTTTGCCTTTGCTCTTTATCTCGGGTGTTTTTTGGGACTAACATCTGTTGCAACTGTGCAGTGCTATCGGTCAATTTCGTAGGCAGTTTGCATATCTAGAGGAAAACAGTGGGAAAAACGGGCCTGTTATGCCTCCAGAACGGAAGCATGTTTCTCTCCCAAGGTAAGACCATCGTAGTTATATCATTTTGGAAGTTAGTGATCTAGAATGCTAAAAAAGAGTGTTTGAAAAGAGTTCCGTTTCTGAGTTTGGTCGGGTATTAATTACCGTTTCTTGCACACTTTAGGTCTTCAGTCAATTCAGGTATGATTGCTTCTAGACCGCAACAGAATGTGGTTGCATTTGACAATAGACGAGTGATGGAAACTGCGATTAGTGGCGGTAGAGTAATAGATACGTCTGTAAATGTTTACAAGGCGGCAGCGGCTGCTGCTGTTACTCGTCCACCCCCCAGGATGCCCACAGGTATGTGATCTTTCTTAATGGATCGGCCTTTTGAATTGGCACTTGAGGACCATTTACTAAAAACATCGGGTAAGCGCTGGGGTTGTTCACTAAGGATGTGTTTTGTATCTAGACAAGCAGAGAGAACAATGTTCAGAGTTTGGTAAGACATAACTGGATAAGACAGGATAGATAAAATGACCAATTTACCCCTAATGAGTTGTTTATATATTTTGACTAATTTATGTAATTTATTAAATTATAGTAAAATAAATATTTTTTATAACAAAACATATCATTCGAAAATTTTCGTCAAGACAATTACAATGACACCAAAAAAAAAACTTTATGTAGTTTCCAAATTTAATTTTATACCTTTTCTATATTATTTTTTTATTATCAATATTTGATAAATTACATAATTAATCAAAATATAGAAACCATATAAAAATATTTTGAGAACAATAAAGTGAAAGTTTCAAGAGCATAAAATACAATAAAATAAAATAAAATTTAAAGCGAGAATAGAATGTAAAGAGGAAGATGTATTTAATGTTTTGGAAGAGAATTAGGTTTTGTTTTGAGGTCGGTGAAACATAAGTTTGCTTAATGGGGTGGGGGTAGGGGTGGGGGTGAAAAACGCTCGTTCCACTTTGTTCTACTATGTTCCTGTCTATTTCACATAAAAGTCTTGCCAAATGTGGAACAGTGATTCTTGTTCTGCCATGTCCAGCGTATCAAATGCATCCTAAGTAAGCATGTACACTCATATCGGGTCAACAACACCCGGTAATTAAGAGGCTATAATCATTTAGTAATATACTATTTTTTTTGTGGGTGTGAAGCTAAGCAAGGAAGAATTATAGGGCCGGTTCTCCCGTACGAAGAAGTGTATGATCCAAGGGTGGTGGTGAAAAACGCAGTTGCACCTCCGGTGGCTCTTCCTCCACAATATGTATATATGACCACCAATGGCGGAGATGAAGGAAATATTCACACAACGGAAGCCAGTAGGGATTCATCCTCAGTTCCACACCCGCACCCGCACCCACAAACATACCCATACCCACACCCGCACCCACAAGTGGTGGGGGCGGCAAAATTGAGTGGGGGCATAGTGATTGACCTCAATAGTAACATGTATTACAGCCAAACACATGCACATTCACATGTGAATCCACATGGTATGGCAAGCCAACAATCTTCTAGTGAACGGATAGCAATCGCTCAAACTCAGTTCGGTCATGTAGCAGGAGTTGCGGCTGCCGCCGCTGCTCATACGGTTGTTCAGATTGGACTGTCTTGAAAAGAAAAGAAGGGATGTTTAATTTGAAATGGTGTTTAGTTGCTAGCTGTTGTCCTGTAAATTGTGAACTCCTTTTTCTAGGGTTGAAAAAAAAGAAAAAAGTGTGATCTTCATTTCACCATTGTTGACACGTGTCCTTAAAGTGGTTTCTGATTCTTTTCTTGAACAAAAGAGGAGCAAAGATCAAATCTTGTGGCCCCAAGAACCAACTTTTTGACCCAAAAGTAACACAAGCACATCGTGCTTTCTCTCTTTTTTCAAAACATGCATGTTATCATCCTTTTATGGAGGTGGTTTTTACAAAGAAATCTTTATTCTTTTCAAAGATTTGATGAACGATGGGTCATTAATAGCAGGGGTCCTCATGGGTTGGGTTGATCGGATTGAAGACATTTGAACAACCCAAATCAATGTTTGCGGTTTGAAAAATCTTAACTCAATCCAACCTGTACGGGTTGGTCGGGTTGATACTTTGGTACATTAAAATATTTTTCTAACCTTGAATATGTTATTTCTCTACTCATAATTTCTTTTTCAACATCAACCATTTAATACAACTTATCCATACTTCTTACGTATATCACATTTAGTTAATTTTCTCAATTTACATATATATGTTCACAGTTATTTAACATATATACGAATGAGTTAATATAGATGTGTGAATAGACTGAAAATATGTGTATATGAAGAGCATACATGATGGTGTAATCGTCTAATGTATATATTAATAAAAATTCAACAATCATATTAAATCCAAGAAATAAAATGATATCGGGTTCATCGGGTTGAGTTGGGTTCAAATAATAGTAACCAAATATCAACCTAATACCTACGTTTGGCAATTTTACAACTCGATTAAATATCGGGTTGCTTCGAGTTGAATTATTTCACGTTGGATTGTGTTGAGTTGATCGGGTTTTTGGACACCCTAACTAATAGGTTGTTTTCTTGCAACACTTCATGGGCCAACTATTTTGGGCCTAAAAACATGGCCCATGCTAACCGAATCTTTATCTTCTAAAATTACAAATTGTATTAATATTTAAAACAGTTATGAATTATAACTGTTTTAAATATTAATACAATTTTTTTAACAATTTCGATTATTATATGTTATATACCTAAAAATCTCTCTTTTTTTAACAATTTCGATTATTATTTAGGATATATATTTGAAAATCTAAAAATAATATTTAAAATAAATAAGGTACAAAAAGCAACAAAGTTAGAAAAAGTATGAATAATAAAGACAATGTAAGAGGCGTAGATATCCATAATAACCGTGGCTCAGGATGAAACTGGCGGCATGTTTAACATATGCAAGTCGGACGGGAAGTGGTGTTTCCAGTTGGGGACGGGTGAGTAACGCGTAAGAACCTGTCCTTGGGAGGGGAACAATAGCTGGAAACAGCTGCTAATACCCTGTGGCTGAGGAGCAAAAGGAAGAATCCCTTCAAGGAGGGGCTCACGTTTGATTAGCTAGTTGGTGAGGTAATAGCTTACCAAGACGATGATCAATAGTTGGTCCGACATTTAAAATAGCTTACAAGATGTATGTATCTGGAAAAAAAAAACGTCATATCAACCTACCCCTTCAATCCCTTCTCCGAACTGTATATCTAAAAAGACTCTATCAATCTACAACATTAATTCATTACTTTCAAGAACTCCTATCAAAGGCTGTTCAGTTAGGCCTAAGGTTGCCATGTCCAACCACGACGACTGGTCCCATGTCCTCTTCGATTTGCCTCCACTCCTTACTCACTTAATCGATACGCTATCCACTGTCTTCACACGTGTCATCATCTACTACGAACGTACTCAAACCACTAGAGTATATCATCACTCAATTTCTCTTCGCAATAGGCACAATTAGTTCTCTCCAAAGAACTTGTTTGATATCTTGTCCAACACGGTCATGCCACGTGTCCATTGCAACAACATTTCTGCAACTTCCATATTCCTCTCTTGCGTCATCTTTATTGTCTAACGTCCGAACCATACAACATAATTGGTTTAACGACCAACTTGTAGAATTTTTCTTTTAGTTTCAACAGGATCCTCTAGTCTCACAATACTCTCGTGGCCGCTCTTTATTTTGACCATAATGTCTTTTTCTCGGTGTGCGATGTACTCCTTAACTTCTCCCTCCTTAATCACAGAGTCTAGGTACCTGAAACTTCGCTCTTTGGCCTCCAGGCACTTCCAAATCGCACCATAAGGTACTCTATTGAAGACCTTTTTTAGGTCTAAGAACACAAAGTGCATATCCTTACTGCACTCTTTTTTATCTATCCATGAGTATTTTGAGAATGTGAAGTGTCTCGATCGTGGACCTCCCTGGCATGAAGTCAGTCACCATTGTTGCTTGATGCACACTACCTTAATCTCTTTTCACACAGTTTTATCTGTGGCTGTAGTTTCATGGATGATGGGGTAATGAATAGAAAAACTCAATTTAAACTGCTAATATTGACTAAATTTTTTTAGCACACAGTTGAAAAACATCAAGTGTTTTATCTCTCCTTGACTTATCATAAGAGCATGGTCAAAATAAGAGAACGTAGGAATGGTCAAATCACATGTTATTTTACACTGAAATCACATAGATTATGAAACACAATATAACGTGTAATTTCAGTGTAAAATCACATGTGATTTTACTGTTTTTATATATTATTATTTTTAAACTTTGTTCTCGTATGAAACTCTTATATATATATATATATATATATATATGGTATATTTCAAATACAACTATGTCTATTCGTACAACCAATACAACCCAATCAATTGAGATATCTTATGGATTTATTATGATTTGAATATTTATGGAAGATGATTAGAGTTTATTAATTATGATCAATACTTTATATTAGGAAACAATCAAAACTTTTATGAAATCACATATTCATCAAACTAAATAAAACGTTGAGATTGAGTTGTATTAATTGTACAAATGTAAAAGATTGCATAATAACACACCTCTCTCTGTATATATATAATATATATTAGAAGGGTACTCGAGCAATGCATCGAGACACATTTCCATTTCAATATTTTGTTTTATTTTTTATCCATGTCGATATAATACAAATTTATGTGGTTTTGAAAAAGCGATAATGCTTTTATTTTTGAATAAAATATAAATTTGAAAATATCATATAAAATTTGCAAAAAATATATCAATATTAGTATCAAATTATCTAATTAAAAGTTCTTATTTGTTTATTTTTTTTAATTCAAAATTTTTATTATAATTTAATTTAACGTAACGAATTAACTTAATTTAAGTTTAATAATAT